TGCCTTTTTATGTTTTTGTTTGTTCATGTATGTTTTGTGTTTGTTGTAAAAATAAAAAAACATTTATAAAAAAAAAAACAAAAACCCTGAAGTGGTATACAAATATTTTAAATAAATACATTGTTGTCATTCCTTAAGGATCTATCATGGATTACTTATACATTGGTTTGGACATCTCCAGGCCACACTCAGGGACCATCCACCTCTGGCATTCACTCGATTCAGGATAGGCACTGCTCTCCCGTGACATTTAAGATGACTTCTGGCTGCGTTGCAATAGAAGAGGGAAAACTGAGAGCAGCCCAACAGCATTAATGCTTGAGCCAGGGTTGATGGTGCTCCCCATGCCTTGCTGAAATCAAGGCACTGTGGCACCTTGTTGCTATTTCATTGCTGAATTACTAAATCAATATCCTGCCTTTTTATATAACATTCAAACCAGTTTAAGCAATGAAAAGTATACGTTCTAAAATGTAAGAATAAAAACAGTACAATTAAAATCAAGGCAACACTAAAATCAATTATCATTAAAATCAAAATTTACTAACTAACAGAAGTGTGGTGAAAGAGATCAGTTTTCATTGTTTACCTAAATACTTGGAGAGTAGCAACAAGTACAAGAGACAAAGTAGAGTCCCATGGGATACCATCAGTCAACAAACTCGTATTAAAAGTAATCCCCTAGCATCCCCTTTGGGGTGTGTTTTGACAAGGATTGGAACCACTGCAAAACAGATTCCCCAAGTCCCAGCCTTATCATATGGCCAGAAGGATACACGGTTGGTAGCATCAAAAGCTGCCAAGAGATCTAATTTCTAAATCTAAATCTTTAATTTCCAGCATACGTTATCTACCAAGGTACTATCAAAGACTACCAAAGCAGTCTCAGTACCATATACCAGATGAAATCCTTGTTGAAATGGACCCAATTAATCAGGTTCAGCCAGATGTGTTGGAGTGGTGAGACCTTTCCCTTCCCAGTCACCTTACCCAGCAAAGGAAAATAAGAAACTGGCTTATAACTATCCAGATTTTCCAGATGCAGGCAGGGCTTTTTCAGTAAAGATCATATGACTGCCTCTTTTAAGTAAGTAGGAACACGTCCCTTATTCACAACAGCATTTGTCATCTCCAGTAACTCTGGGGAAGAGTTCTGCCGAGGCCAAGTTAGTCAGCTAGGAGGGACAATGATTGAGTAAATAGATGGTGGTCCTCATCCTTCCACATACACCATCCACATCCTCTAGACATAGAAGCTGAAAAGAACTCATACAGACAGGTGGTTTCCAAGATTACCTTACCTACTTCCTCAACACTGGAGTCCAAGTTGAAGTAAATCAGACCAACTTTCTCTGCAAAGTACAGTAAACATTGTTCAAAGTGAGCCTGTAACTTTTCCAACTTCTCTCCCCCAGCATCTTGTTTAAGAACATGCCACTATAGAAAAGTGGCCTGTACTGTGGAGGTGCTGTGGAGGCAGAGAAGTAAGCCCATTTTTCTCCTAAACATTGTTCAAAGTGAGCCTGTAACTTTTCCAACTTCTCTCCCCCAGCATCTTGTTTAAGAACATGCCACTATAGAAAAGTGGCCTGTACTGTGGAGGTGCTGTGGAGGCAGAGAAGTAAGCCCATTTTTCTCCATCCACTGCCACAGAGTGGGATTGCAAATTGCCTTTAGGAAGAGCCCTACTCCACTTTTGAAACAATTTGTTCCAAAGGTTCTTCCACTTGTGGTCCTGCTTTCTATAAGTCTGCCTCATTGCTCTCCACTCCCTGGTGAATCAAGGTGCCACTTGAGCTCTGTTGGAGGAAAGAGGGCACTTGGGAACACTAGTATCAATGAATCAGGCCATCTCCATGTTTTGCAGATCAGCCAGTTCTTCAACAGTATCACAGAGAAGGCAGGAAATTCCTCAAGCAAATTTAGGAAACCTTCCAAATCCATCAGGTGCCTGGGTTGGACCACTTTAACTAGTCCTGCAGTGAGTTATAGCAGCCACCAGTGTAAAAATTATCAAAAAATGATCCATCCATGATCACATCCCCAGCCAACAATGTCATTTCCTGTGGATAATGAGGGTAGCCACATTTAAGAGGGGTATCAGCTTAAGGAAGATCTGTTCTTTTTAAAAGACCACAATAATTCTGAGATTCTTCTGAAATGGACAATACACTTTCTATTCCATTTGATAGAAAACCAGTCATCAGATGAAGAGTGGGGATGGGGGAATAAGCTATTTATTAAATCTGTTCTTCTCTTAACTATGTAGGTAGAAATTCAGTTTCCTGCGTGGATTAGCCAATTCCTGTCCCGGTCTAGAGAGGATAAAACTGGCAGACTGTTTGTCCAGCATGAAGAATTACAGGAACAACTCCGCAAACTGGAGCGCAAAATCCTTGCCAAGATCTCAAAGGATCAACAATTGTCTGTGAAGGATGTTGGGGTCACCCTTCATAAAGAAGGAATCATAGGAGTAACTGAAGAGGTATGAGGGTCTCTTTCCCAGTAGGCCCAAGAGAATCACCATGGATTATTTTGAATATTCTGTTTACGGTGCTGTTGTTTTTGTGAGATGTTCTTATGCATATGTAAATCTAGATTGTAAGACCTGCTCTGTGATTTACATGTGCATTAATTGGAATGTTTTGTATCTGAATGGCTGGCTTCCTGAATTAAACTATCATAATTTTGTGGCATTCTGCTATCAGTCATAATAGATCCTGAACAGAAAACTCACCCTACTGTTGGGCAGAATTTGGGTAAACACCTTGGGCAACAGGGAGAGCTCTTGACCTCTTTGCTCTTCCCATTCATTGCAAACGGACAATATGTGTTTTATGCAGCCTTCCCTGTGTTCCTAAGCTAGCCTCAGGTGCTGTGAAGGATGCTGTTCCATCACCAATTTGGTTGGCTTCTGTAGGAGGAATAGGGGTATATGCCGTTTGCCTCAGGTATCAAAACGTTTTGACTTAACTTTGCTGAAAGGCTATCCTGTCCAGGCTTGTAACCATGAAGTTGTGAGGATAGCATTTTTTCCTTATCTATCACTCTGTGGAAGGGCAAGGCTTGTGAAGCATTTCCTGGCTGTTGGCACAGGAATGGGCAGTCTTTATATCTCTCAGCTTAATTTCAGTTCCCTTCCCACTCTATACAGACAGAGGTAGATGAGTTCAGATGTCTAGTAAGAGCTGTCTGTCCTTCCTGATCCTGTTGATTGGAAGAGTGAGAACAGAGAGTCAGAGAATAGGTGTCCCAACATTTTTGTGCTCCAACTCCAGTTCCCATGTGGCCCTCAAGTAATCACCCTGAGAGAATGTGACCCTATATAAGTTGTATCCCTTTAACTCTTCTTGTATTCAGTCTTGCTGTCTTGTTTCAGCAAGTACATCATATTGTGAATGATGCCCTAAAGCGCTACAGTGAAGATCGCATTGGGATGGTTGATTATGCACTGGAATCTGGAGGTAGGTTACACAAAAAACACAAACAAGTTTCCAGCTTTCATGTCAAGAACCTGGGATTGTTTTGGTCAGTTTCATCTGTAGGCTTAAACTTTTGGGAGGGAACTTTCTTTGTTGCAGTTTCATGCTTATTGCTTCCAAATAGCTGGCAATTTTCTTTCTTCCACAAGATTCAGTCTCTGCAAAGAATCTCCCTAAGAATAAAGTATGCAAACCTGTGTGAATAATCTAATAACATATTTCTAGTTTCTCGTTTACAAAATGATTTGGGCATGAGCACTGTGCACAACTTACCTTCATTCGTGCCTTTTTAATTATAGGGGCCAGTGTTATCAGCACTCGGTGTTCAGAAACCTATGAGACCAAGACTGCACTTCTTAGTCTTTTTGGCATACCCTTGTGGTATCACTCCCAGTCTCCAAGGGTCATTCTACAGGTATGATTTCATTTTCAAAGGAACAATAGAATGGTGGTCCTTTTTCTCTGTTTTCTCTCCAGAGTATTTTGCTTATGTCCCTTAGTCACCCAGTTTATTTCCTGTGGCTTTTGCCCTGTGATATGGGCAGACAAGTTTTTGTAGCAAGAGGAGGATTCTTCCTTTCTCTAGCATCTTTTGTAATGACCATGAGATATCCATTGTCACCTGGTTCATTCAAGAAGGTCTCTGCAATAAGTGTTACTTATTATAAGCTAAACAAAGCTGGAAGAGGTCCTTTGCCTGATAGATGATACAGATATGGATATGGATATGGATATAGAATAATTCCCTGGCTTTCAAAACAAAATTTAGGGAATGATAAACTTAGTTGGATGTTGTCCTATTATTCCGATGGGAGCAAAGCTCCAAAAATGCTCTTAGAGGAATTTTTGCTGAAATTCTTTTACATACCCAATTTTTACTTTGAATAAGGCAGTAGCCTCATAAGGGCCAGTGATTATTGTAATCTGTGAATGGATACCAAATGCCTGCCCATAGTTTGTGATATTCTTTCTTTTGGTTATTCCTTTTAACTCACATTCTCGTTTGCCTCATTTGATACAGCCAGACGTCCATCCTGGAAACTGTTGGGCTTTCCAAGGCTCCCAGGGTTTTGCTGTCATTCGTCTTTCAAGTAGCATCCACCCCACTGCTGTGACATTAGAGCATATCTCCAAGGCCGTTTCTCCCAGAGGAACCATTCCCAGTGCCCCCAAGGACATTGCCGTCTTTGTAAGTCTGGAGAACATAGCAGGAAAGAGCAAATTAAAGTGAGCTCGACCTGGGAAAGGGGAGATATTTTTTCCCATCACAGGGAAAGAACAATCCATGGTAGGGAATTCCTCTCATATCTGATTGGCAGGCAAGATTTGCAGAAGTTTCTGAACTTTCTCAGTATAGGAGTCTCCTCACTCCTGCCTCCGGTTTTGTTGAAAGACCTGCAAAACAGTCTTCATCATTTTGTCAATTCTATCTGTAATTCTAGTGGGAGAGTATGTTTCATTTTAAAATGTTTTCAATACTTCCCTAAAGATACAGTTTTCTAATATTCACTCTAAATTAGTGAATGATTAATTTGTAGTCATCGGTTCTAGTATCCATAGATAGCTTTAAACTAGGTGGTCAGAGACACTGGCTGAGTGGTTCATACATTGTTTTAAGCAATGTTATGGCTTATTGGGTATTACCTTAGCACAACAAGCGATATGTAAACAATGGTTTATGACTGAGCATTTGAACACAGCCATTGTGACTTATCCAATAAAACATGGTTAAAACAAACCACAGAGAACCAGTTTATTGTAGTACTTCAAGGCGCCAGGCTAGAAACCAGGAAACTGAATTCTCATCCTCCCTAAGGCATGAAACCAGCTGGGTGACCTTGGACCCATCACTCTGTCTCAGCCCTAGGAAGAAGGCAATGGCAAGCCACTTCTGAAAATGTTGCCAAGAAAAGTGCAGAGACTTGTCCATGTAGTCACCAGGAGTCAAGACTGACTTGAAGGCCGACATAGACACACAAAAAGGTTTAGTGTGATGTATGAACCAGCCATTATATAAGAACTTATTATTTTTAGACATAGCCCTCCTATAAACAGTTAAATGGCTATCATACAGTTGATTAAAAAATAAATCCCACCTGGAGCCATAGACAGGTTCCTGATGTTCTTTTTACTTAATTATCCTGGTTTGTACAAGGAATTAGCTGTGTTCAGAAGATAGCCCTCACTTGACATTTGAGAAAAATAATTCTGAAGGTCATGTTTCCTCCTGTGACCAGATCATCCAGATGATCCTGCTGTCCTTTCCCTCACATAGAGGAAGTAATAGTTGGAAGCTAGCTTTGTTAAATGGAACAGCTTTAAATCTAGTGAGGTCTGCAAGACTAAGATGGTCCAAATGCAGAGGGACTATGTCATGAAGGTTTCAGGGAGGGGCAAAGATAGGCAGATGGTTTCGAACCCTCACAGCATCATCAGGGGTGAGGAAAACAGGAGCCAGAAGTTGGAGAGCTCCCTGTTGCTCATTCCTGGGATGCCATAATGAAAATACGTGGTTGTGAAGTAAGAGTGTTCAGCAACCACACTGAAGTCTTGATTCTGCACTGCAGTTATATAATAGATGCCAAGACAATCTATGCAAAATTATTTAGACTAATTCACATTTATTTAACTACAGTCACTGATCAGCAAGTTAAAACAAAACTCAGAAACAATGACTGAATACAGCTAAGATAGTTTAACAGCCATATAAATCTTAAAAGATTTAGACTTAAAACTAGAGTAAAATAAAAATTGAATACAGTAAAACATAAAATAAAAATAGGGTAAAATATAAATACAATGAACTAAAAGAGAAATAAATTTCATAATATCATCCCTCCAAGACTAGGACATCTTATGTCTTATAGAAATTGCTGCAGATAGAAACTTAGCAATTCTGTTGCTGATGGTGGGTTTATTATTATTATTATTTAAACTATCATAATAAGGACATAGAAATTAAGAGGAAATAAGGTTCTATACTGGGAAATTATTCAAAGCGTACTGAAGAGAGACTGATGGAAGCTATAGTGCACAACTCAGGAAATTGCTCAATATAAATCTCTAGCATTGACTGAAATTCCATAATTAGACCTGTCTTTGGGGGAAAAAGGAAGGGATTATGTGTTTATAACAAGCAGCCTTCTTTCTTTCTACTCTGCTGCTTCTATATAGTATGCCCCTTACCCACCTGTATGGTTTATTGGCATACAGCTACAAAAGGGGCCATGAGTCACCCTTGCCTCCCTTCCTCCCTCTCTCATCATGATTTTTCTGGACTCCTCATGGCTTTCACCTCTCTCCTTTCCTCTCCTCCACCTCACTTGTTTGCTCAGGGCTTGGAGGAAGAAGGGCAGCAAGAGGGCGTCCTCCTTGGGAAGTTCACATACAACCAAGATGGGGATCCCATCCAAACATTCCATTTCCAGGTAAGAAAGGGACAAGAAATTGGGGTGAGGGGAGGTAGACCAAGAGTGGGATAAAGGGCTCCAGAGCCTACAGGAAAGTAGTGGGCCTTATTTGCTGTTCTTATTCAGTACCGAGTAGATTTGTGAATACAGCCTACTAGTGGCCCTTTTATTTATATGGTCTTCCCTGGGTAAAGAACCAGTTTTTGAAATATGTTGGAAATAATAAAATGTAGGGATTATAATAGTAGCTTTTATTTTTCTAAGAATACCTACTTTGGTCTTGCTGCTTTTTACCTCCAATGCTTACCCAAGGATTAGCCATAATGGAGGTGGCAGATGGAGCTTCCTGGAGTTTTAAGGGATGTAGCCCAATGCATTTTGATAGCTGCATAAGCAACTTCTGTAAAGGGTCTGCTTCTACTAAAATAACAGCAACAATAATACAGTGAAGAGACTGATCATTTTGCTGTTTTGCCCTATACCCTCTCTTATGCTAGTATCTCATGGCCAAAGAAATGGACTTCAGAGCCTCTAGGCCACCTTCTTCAACCCAGTGCCCTCCAGATGTGTAGGATTAGATACCTCATTATCTCCATTCAGGACTATGATAGGAGCTGTAGTCCAACATATCTGGTGGTCACAGTTGGGGAAGAAAAAAGGCTGATCTCAACTCATTTGTCAGTGCTTGCAGAATTCTGACAGGGATGCTAAATTAGGCAGTACTTATTATATTTCTATAGATAACAGAAAAAATTAGAATCATGCTTGAGGCCTCAGTGCTGTCGGTTGGTGGTGGAGGCACCTTTACAGAGTTTGTTTATGCATTTGGATGCATCTGCCCCACATCCCACCACCATTTTATGCCTCCCGACACTCCCAGATTGCACAATCAATTTTCAGCATTTTTAAAATAAAATGGTACATTAAGTATTTAGGAATTTACCCCCTCTTCCTCTTAAACGCCCCAACCCTAAAAAACATACACAACTTTAGAAGAGGATATATGTAGCTGAGGGTTGAACTGTGGAGTCCTTGGGATTCTCTGAGCTTGATGGTTTTCTTGCAGATGTTTTGTTACCCGGCTAGGTAACATCTTCAGTGTTACCTAGCCAGGTAATGAAACATCTGCAAGAAAACAACCAAGCTCAGAGAACCCCAAGGACTCCACAATGCAAAACTTTTTCTTTGTTCTTCTTCTTTCTCTTTTCTTTTTACTTTATATTAGTTCTTGTTAGTTTTTATCTTCTGTTCAAAATTCTTAATAAAAATTATATATTAAAAAAAAAAACATACAAAAAGGGCCCTGTCCCATGCAGGCTTTACTGTGTCACCAAGTATATTCCTTGCATCTCCAGGAGAGGAAAGTAAAAATAAAGCCCATGGCTGAAAAAGTGACGTATTTCTCTTTTACCTGATCAGAGACAACATGTTACTGTCCTCCAGGCAGTAAGCATGGGTGTGACCCAAATTAGGCCAATCCTCCAGCATTCTCTCTGGGTCATATTTTAAAAAGTCGACTTTCTTTTTTCTTCTCCCATCCTCAGGATATAGACAGGGAGGCAACCTTCCAGCTGGTGGAGCTAAGAGTTCTCAGCAACTGGGGCCATCCAGAATACACCTGCATTTATCGCTTCCGTGTGCATGGGGACCCAGTCTCATAACATCTTCTAGCACCACTGGCTCAAATGTCACCTACCTCAAGATCTGCACCTCAGACTGCAAAAAGCAGTTGGGAAGCAGTGCTGGGAAGGAGAGCACCTTGGAATGGGCAATGTATCTTTTTTGCTATGTTGCACAGGGATGGGAAGCAAACTGTGACTCTCCCTGATCAGTCAGTTCTCTTCTGAAAACAACACCCTTCTGAGTGCAGAGGAAGACAGAGGCCTTTTTGATTTTATATTTTATATTCAGTTGATTTTAAAGGAGATTTTTAAACATACCTATGCAGTTCATACTTGCCCCATCCTTTATACTTCTCCAAACCTGATTTCTGGTTGTCCCTTTAGAGCTCAATTCTCTCGGGGCTGAAGACATATTTAAACAAACTAAGCAATGCAGGACAAGTCAGCAGGGTCATCAGTTCTGGTGTAAGGATGTAAAGCCTCTGCCAGATTTGAGGGACCTATTTGGCCCCTTATTACTGACCCCCCCAAAGCCTCAACCTCCTCATAGAAAGGAGGTGCCTATTTTGCCTGTGCCTACTCTGAGCAGCTCTGGGGGATATGGAAGGTGTGCTGGAAACTCCATGTAGTTGGAGCTTCAGAGAGTGTTGTAATAACTTTAATTACCTTTATATAATAATTATATTGTGTGGAGGCAGGTAGCAGAATGTTTTTATGAAATCTGTCTTGGATGAGGACTGTAGACTTAGGGCCATTCCTCCTCTTGTGCAGACAGGATCCTGTTGATTATTTTTGTAACCTAACCACAAAAGATTGAGATTGAATTCCATGGGAAGCGACAATGCACAGATTCAAAAGCTACAGAAGGAAATGGGGGAGTTGTTTATTAGGGGACTGTAATTTGTTTAAAAACTGGAAGCTGCAGTTTTGAAGAATAGGAAGGAGTTTTTATAAGGAAAAATAGTGTAAAGATAAACTAGAGCCATTTGTATGGGTTAAATGTTGACACACATTTCCCAATCTGCAGTATTTTATTTCTTAGAAAATGAATTAATATTGTCAGGCCTTCACACCACCATAGAAGCAAGTACACCAACTCCTAATAAGAGGGAGATGATTGCTAATGCTAATGGCAAATGAAAAGTACCCAGCTTGCATTCAGAGGTGGATATCTCTGAATATTCTTAAATATCTCAAATATTCCACAACAGAGTCATAGTATTACAATATGGGCTCCAAGGATGAACCTTGGCTTATATTGAACTCCGTCTTTTGAGCTGCTTGCAAGGACACAAGTATAAGTTGCATATTGTAATTCATAGAAAGTTAAAGATGCTCTTGAGTTGAGCTCAACTCCTGGTGACAATATAGATATATCAGAAGCTGCTGCAATTGAGGCTTTATATGTTTGAAAAGGGTTAATTTTTTTTAGCTTGCATAACATATGTATTAACCTCATAAGCCATTAAGAGTAGCAGAAACTTGAAGTCTGAACACTCAGTGTACCACAACTCAAATACATTTCTAAGTTAGTTGAATCTTCAGCCCTTCGCTTTGAATAGTTTCTCAAGACAGAGAAAGTACAACTATATGTCTATAATCACTTGCCAAACTAGTCCCATGTATCAGTTGACTAAACAGTAAGGAAAATTGCCACAGTTCTGCAACTTATCCAGCAAAACATCAGAATGAGTTAGAGTCCTGAAGTGGCATAGTGAAATGTGTCATTCCAAGGGGAAGAGATCATTTTTAAATGTTTCTTATTGTGTTAAAAAGCAGCCTCCCTTTAATAGAAAACAATCACAGCAAGGAATAAAACAAGCCAAGGAAAACCTACCTCCCTGCTATGCTACTTGTTGAATGTTCAGACAGCTTTACAGGTGGGAAGATAAAAAATGGTATCCTTTGCCTTTGCTCTGAAGTGTTACACTTAACTGCCACCCTTTCTAGGAGTAAAGCTCTCTTCTTTGTATGCACATATGCAAAGAGTATTTTTCTTTTTGCTAAATGGGTCATATTTGAATGAAATCTGTTTTTAGAAGGAACAGCCTTCTGGATGGGTGCCTCATAAGTAATTCCTCTTTCCATCCCTAGTTTGGAAGGAAATTGACATACATGGCAAAAGAGCATGGAGACTCTAGTAGGCTCAGAAGATTCCATTTTTCAGACTGAAATCAATTTGGAACCAACAAATTCTTCCTGCTTTAGAAAAATTGGGCTAGGGAGATGACATGCAGCCTGGTCCAGCATTCCCAATTTGGGTCCATCCAGATGTATTGGTCATTCTAGAGGTCTGTGTGGTCGCTAAGAGTTGACATTGACTTGATGATCCATAATCAATCTACCAGATATGTTGGGATTGCCAGAATAGATATCAGATTGAAAAAAGTTGATCTGGCATTTGGAACACATTAACCAAATGTGAAGCTACTGTCTCTATTCTCTTCCAGAATGGAGTGGTGGTGGTGGTGGTGGTGGTGATGATGATGATTTAAATGAAGCCACATAAACGTTTAGGTAGGGAACCATGCTGACAACTGAGGAGAGAGCATAGAGAAACCTGGTAGCCAAAGGGCAGAATAATCTACACCAGAGTAGCTGAATGAAGCCACATAAACGTTTAGGTAGGGAACCATGCTGACAACTGAGGAGAGAGCATAGAGAAACCTGGTAGCCAAAGGGCAGAATAATCTACACCAGAGTAGCTGAATGAAGCCACATAAACGTTTAGGTAGGGAACCATGCTGACAACTGAGGAGAGAGCATAGAGAAACCTGGTAGCCAAAGGGCAGAATAATCTACACCAGAGTAGCTGTATTGCATATGTTTTTACATGTTGAAAGTCCCATGTCCCAAGGTTCAATCCTTGACATCTGTAGTTAAAGCTAGGAAAAACTTTAGTGCTGCAAATCAGTGTTGCCAGTACTGGGCTGAAAGGACTGTAAACTGGCTTGGTCTCAGAGTTGCTTGAATTCCTGTTAAGAGATTTATGCACCAGTGGAGAAGCTGCAGCAGTGTTCCCTTGTAGCAGAAAAAAACATAGTCCAATCAGGTCAACTGGTTGCCCTTTCCCTTAAGGATAGGTGACAGTGGTTTAGGCTTGGCCATTTCCTCTGCTTTGGGGCTTTGTTTTGAAAGCATCATTTTCTCAGTTGTATATACAGACCTAGTAGAGGATGTGCACAAGCGTATTGCTGCACTTTTGTAGATACAATGGCAGGGTAGTATCTGTTACTCTTTCCATATAGCTATGGAGAGAATAGGTGTGGGGCAGAGGACAAGCTTTATTGAAAGTAGAAAAATTGGCACATGCTTATGACAGTATTGTAAAAGAAACAGTATTACATGGGCCTTGCCTCACTATTTCAGTATTAAGATGTGACTGCAGTGACATAGTTAACACAGCATGTTAAATGCCTGAGAAATATTTAGCTAAGGTTTGTTAACATTATTGGACCCTATGGACTATGTTAACAAGCTGCACCCAACATGAAGATCTAGCTAGTATTTGTGATGTTGATGCAGACTTCCTGTACTATTTGTCTCTATGTGTATTTATAAAAATAACAGGCTAGATCTATCAATCGATGGGTCCATTCCCTAACAATAAGGACAGGGAACTGTTAGCTGATCATTGTTCTGGTATCTCTTTGTCAGGTGTCCAGGATCAGGTGGCACCTTATTCTGTCTTTCAGGCTCCAATAATAAATCCCATGTCCTTTGGTCTACAGTAATTCTTGAATTGATTACTTTCTCTTCAACATTACAATAAAGGCGGTTCCCAGCCCTTTTTTTTTCAATGGGATGCAGGAATAGCAATTTTCCTTGCCAAAAGGACTCAAGTCAGAAAAGGTCACATGGAAATTGTCTCTTAAATCTGAATCCTTGTGTTCCTTCAGGCAAATTATAGGCCTGCATTAGTCCACTACTTTAGAATAAAATTGGAGACCCAACCCATTCTCCATGTACTTAGTTATCCCATGCGTGTGTATGTGTGTATGTATGTACTGTATATGTATATATAGTTTTTTAACTAATTGTAAAGTTAACTTTTTAACTTTGTAATTAGCCCAAAATAGGGATGGGGTAAGGTCAAATTTTTAATAACTTCTTATATTCTGTTACGAAAGAGTGACTAATGGAAGGTTGTATTTAGAAAGAAACTAAAACATCTGGAATAATGCATTTTCAGGACATCTGATTAACTTAGAATTTCCGGTGTGATCATCATACAGTGGTTTTACAAAATAATGGAACAGTATTGTAATGGTATGTGGAAAAGACCCTGGGAGACAGGGCAAAGAGATGCTGCCTAGGGAGCAGTCAGAAAAGAGACAGCATAGTCCACAGCTGGATAGTGGGTAGGACAAGAGGGTCAGAAGGGACCCTCCCTAGTTTCTTGGGCTGTAAAGGAAATGGCAGGAGAATTGTACTTTCATACTTGCAAGATTGATGTCAGCCTTACCAGGTAGACCAGACAGGAAACACGGCCAGATAAGCTAATTCTACTTTATTGTAAAGCTACATTAACAGAATCTTGCAAGTGTGTTGCAAGTTTTTACTATAAGTTAATTCCTGGTCACCATTTTGGGTTCAGCCACTAAGTTTGGTTTAAGACCTTCACATGATGGTGATAAAATAGCAGCACATGTGCACTCATTAACCAAGCTTTTTAACTTAAAAGTGTTATGAAATACAAGCAGACTGAAAATCCAGTGGTACCAAATCAACAGTGATCTTATGTAGGCACGTGAAAAAGTATGACAATTTTATGGTGCCAGTGCCTTCACTTGTCAGTACTAAGCATTTGCACGCAGTTGCTCTCACCACTTCAGGGCTAACCTTTTTCACATAGCCACAGGCTAGCTGAGGATGATAGAATCATACATTTGAAGGTTATTGCAGATGGCTAGTTAAGATAGCTGACTGGGAAGCATTATAGCAGCTTCCAAATTCCACATATACAATAGTTATCATCAGGAATGCTTTTATACAGTGTGCTTTTCAAGTGGAAACAAGAAATTAAGCATGAAAAATATGATTTTTGCAGACTTTTTGTACTTGGGAAGGCACCCCACAGATTAACAGTGTAATAAGTCATACTCCTAAAGAAATATCTATTTACATTGCAGGGTTGGGGGGAATTGCATCTAAGTCTGTAGATTACAAATGCTGCACGGTCTGCTATTTTTTTTTAATTTGTGTTGTAATTTATACCTATGCAAGAGAAACCAAGTTCAATAAATGATTTTTCTTAAACTGGTCATTAATGAACAGGGGGCTTTTTGTGTTGGAGAGGAATAAAATGAGTAGAAATTCTGATCAAAGAATAATGGCACTAAAATTTCTATCAAATAGACCACAGACCATATGCATGACATACAGACCAAAAAAAAAAAGACATGATACAAGTTTTCTAGGACAGAAGGGGAGGGGCCATTCTGCTGAAAAGGTTAAATAATTAAAAAAGCAATTTATACTGCAGTTTAAACTACTGTAGTTTAATTTTAAGAAAACATTTGATGTCAAGGCTTAGCTAAAATCAGGATTGCAACTTCTATTTTCAAAATAGCAATAGCTTTGAACTTATTTTTTAATCGTGCATATTTCTTATGCACAGCTGTTGTGAATAGCCCTTGGAATACTGCATACAGTTCTGGTCATCACATCTCTTTTGCAGAGCCGGAAAGGATGTAAAAAGGATGCCCAAAATAATTAAGTTGTCTTCTAGCATGAAAAGAGTACAAAGTATTTTTCATTTAAAACTTGATAGATGTATATAAAAGCTATGTGGAAAGAAATTTCTCTAAAAATACCAGAACTTGGCAATCATGCATCGATGGAAATGCAGGGAGATACAAGATACAGTCATTCTTTATAAAACACATAGAATTTGCTTCTATTAGACAAGTGCTACTGATTTAGATGATTTTAAAAGCTAGTCAAATCTATAGAGGACTAGCTTATCAGTGGTTACGGGTTTCAGTGAAAGTATGATATGTCCAGAATGAAAGGCAACATGTGTTAAATAACAGTTGTGAACACCTGGCCTTGCTTCTGCCTCTCAATGGGAACTGTAAGTCACAGTATACGACAAGATAGACTTGATTCAGCAGGATTTTTCTTATGGCACAAGTTTCTTTTGCAAATTTGATTTTCTACAAGGTTCTGGAAGCATTAAGTAATCCCTAGTTCAGGAGAACCACCAGCTAGCCCTCAAGACTTTTCAAAGGAGAAACTTCAGCCATATAAAACATATTTACAAATTACATCTGACTTGATTTACATTTTACGAACCAGCATGAGTGAAGTAATACCCCATTTCCTCTAAAATGGAGAGAACAAGAAGCTTTTCATTTTTACCAAATTGTTCTTTTTAATGTTGATACCATGCCAGCCTCAGTAGTCCTTACGTGCGGTTCAAAAAGGAGAACACAACACTGTGATCTTCTTAATGCTTGTCAGCATTGTACATTCATCTTTCAGAACAAAAGAATGAAGGAAGGAGGGCACCACACCAAGGCCTCTGCTTCCCTTGGTATTGGAAGGCAAGGAGACAGATGTAATACAGGGTGAAAAGCAATACAGCAGATTGCTACCTTGCATTAAACATCCCTACATTGTTTTGTCCTCAGAGGGTGCTCTTAATACTGCAGCTGCTGGGCATTATATCCAAAAAAGAAGATAGGTATAACAACTTTCCTTAATCTGATGCCTTCAAAATAGATTGGTCTACAACTTCCATCAGTCCCATACAGCATACCAGTTAATCATGCTTGCTGGGGAATTGTAATCCAATATATCTAGAGCGCATCAGACTTGGGAAGATGGCATAAGTATTCCTACCTGCTTTTTAATGTTTATGACTTCAAAAAATCTGGTTATTCCAAAAACGGTTAGGATGGAATAAATCTAAGAAACACTATACCATAGAGAAAAAAGCTATTCAAAGTTACAAACCAGTTAACTACAAACCACAATTTTGTTTCGTGCTTTCTCCTTTTTAAAAACATGATGCAGTTAAAATAAGTCAGTTCAGAATGAGTGCCTTGAAGAGTCACAGCTACTAAAGTTATAAAATCACAAATGTGAGTCCAAATTTTAATGGTGGATTCAGTAAACCTCAGCCCACCTCTCTGAAGTCTGTTACTTTACTGTTACACAGCACAGTAAAGATTTTGAGAGGCTGAAACAAGTTTCTAACTTGGTCTCTGAACCATTCAGTTAATGAAAGAGGCACCTATTTCCTTAATGCGAAGGGAGTTGAATATGCAGATGCCATCAACAACATCTGTTCCTGGCAGGAGGGAAATGTGGCCTTAAAGACTGGTTTGGAAACCATGAAAATGAAACAGGCAAGTAACCAGAAATGACCTTGCACTCTCACTCCCTGTTCCTAATGTGTCCACATAGCTGGTTGCAAAACTAGATGTACAATGCAGTCAGAGTTACACTGAAGCCCCTACAGCTGGCTCTGTAAGAAAAACATCAGTTTTAAACATAAAGTACAAACAAAATAATGTGAAATAAACTCTCCAGCCTCCAACTGTCACTTTCAAAGCTCTCCATCTTTTCTTCCAGAAGGATGAAGTGCTTGCGAACAAGCTTACAAGTACACACTTATGACTTCTAGGATCTCATTGGAATCCAAGTTTTGGGATGAGGCTGGTTTGAGGGGTTTCTTTTGTGACAGTTACCAACTACGATCATGGTGACATTACAGTGAGAGAGACCTAGTACTGGTTTCAAACAGCTGGAAACGGGGGAAGAACTGCTATCTCCTCCCAGCCAACTACCATATATTCTTACTCTTACAGGCCTCGGATTTCAGAAATTCCCAATTGCAAATGAGAGTGGGTTAGCTAACATAATGATGAACATGGGAGTGGAGAAGAGGCAGGTACTTTCTTTTCTATACCTGCATTCTCCTAAACACACATGCACGCATGCACACACACACACACACACACACACAAAACCACCATAATAAAAACATAAAAATCATGACTAAGAGCTCAAGGTGTACAAAATGTTTTGGGGAAAAGGGAGAAGGTGGCTGTTGGTCAGTCTCCTGTGTGCTTTGTCACCTTCCTTCGTTTAAATGGAAAACCCCACATTTTCTGGAACTTCCCTCCCTTCCCCTGCCTGGGGGAAACAAAATTCCACAGTAGGAGATTGGTTGCAAAAGATTTTGGTTAAGCTCCTCCGGGTTTTTGAATTGAAGAAATGGACGGGAAGATGTGAATTTCTCAATGATTGAAAAGATGTTCAGCAACCACCAGCTGAAGTCACAATAGCTGCTTGAGATTTCACTTTATGACGCTGGCCACCACGCCTCCGGCCACCACCTCCAGCCTTTGCCTGGGGAAGGGGTGAGGAAAAAAAGCCCAGGTTAGAATAAGGACAAGAGGATTTTGGATGACAGAATAAACTTTTATTTGTGTATTTAGATTTGGATGACAGAATAAAAGTTTATTCGTGTATTTAATAAAGGTTTTATTCGTGTATTTCTGACTTTTTCCATTGTAAATTTGACAAAATAAAAAAAAACTTTAAATAAAATCAAATATTAAATGGGAAAGGGGGGAGGATGAGAAAACATCTCCATAATAATTCTTCCTGAAAGACTGAGCTTCATGAGAACTGGATGGAAATTATGACTAGATCTCACTACCGCAGCCTGTGCTCCCTAAGGCATACAAGCCAAAGTAGTAGAGGAAATACCTTATTTCCCTCTTGATTGTGGGGTTCTTCATCCAATGCAGGCTGAAGGAAAGCATTGGGAAAAGAGAAGTAGAGGTAAGCAGAACACAGGACAGACAAACAGATAAGCAAGATATGGACAAAGACTGACAGAATAAAGGGAGTTCTATACCAACACATCTGGAAGGCACTAGACAGAGCGCACAAGGCAGGAGACAAAACAAAGGCACACACACACAGGCCAAAGGAAGAAAGGAGACTGAGAAGCTAAATAAATAACAGTTGCCCCTATAGAGCACAATCAAGTATCTGAATGAAGGAGCACAGCTCTGCTAAAGCACTCAAAGTCTTGTCAATTTAACAAATGCTTGTCTTTGATTTATGCTACCTGTCCAAAGTTTAGGATGGCACTAAATCTTAAGAACAGTTAAAATACAACAGAATGGTGTAAATTCTGCAAAGGAAATACCTCAAAAAACTGTAAAACCCTCTTAAAGGAACAGAAATTTGAACAGGATATATTTTATGCCTTCAGTATAAGTCAAGGATAGATCCGTAATTCAAGAGGGAGATCATCCTACACTTTGGTGCAACTGCAAAATAAGGCTCTCTTTTTGCAATGGAAATCCTTACTGTATTAATCCATATCACAAAGGTAAACAAAACGCAGTTGGATCCACAAACTGCAGAAGAACTGCAAGGCTCACATGGAAAAGATTTAACAGTATGATTATTCCAGATCTGCAATATTAAACAGGACACACCAAATCTGAGGCAGACAAAAAGCTGTCTCACTCTGAACTAAATAAAAAACTTCTGATGTTCACTAAGGGATGGACGGAAAATTAGCTTCCATTTAAAAGAGAACAAAGATATGAGCAGTTTCCTTGGCTACAAAATTATTCCCCTGACATCTGTGTCCGTGTTTGGAGCCATTTTTATGATGCAGTCAAACCAACTCTAGACAGAAAAACAGATATGAACATACAGTGTTAAAAATGAACATAATATGCCCTGCTTGGTTATCTTCTTTTGACTTAGCAGAGCATATCGATCAGGATATGAAGGTTTGTTCAACAAAGCTTACTTTAAAAAGTCTTTTCTCAGGGAGATAGGAACTCAGCCAAAATCAGTGGAGCAGGAGAAACTGTGGCTCCCCTTAAGGCACGTCTGGGAAAGGCACGCTGGCATTTGACAAAGGTACAAAGGCACTGCACAGGCCACTTTACCTACCTGTGGTTGTTGAGCACCAGATGGTGCTGAGGCAACTGTTACCAGTGACACTGCATCCTCTGCCACAGTGGGGTTCAGCACTACTATGCCAGCCTGGGCTCCACCCTCTTCGCGCTTGGTCAAGGGCCCCTTTTTTGTGGACTGCATCTTGATCTGCTGGGGCTTGGAGTTCATGGGAGAATTATTGGTGGTCTGGAGTAACTACCAGTCAGAAAAAGATAACCACAATCAGGATCTTCATTGAGTGTTGGGTTTTACTTTAAAGCACAGTATCAACCAAACAAAGTTGATGTGACTTTAGTTAAACCCTTAGATACTTAGAAAAAGAAGCTGAGCGCTCTCATTCTCACAGCCTCTGAAGCAGGAAGTGACTAAAGAAGAAACCACAAAGTTAGTCTCATTTTTTATTCCCTGCAGCTGATGGGGAAGACTAAACATTAAGTAAAAGAGGATATTAATAGCATAGCAATATCTAAGCCATTTCACCATACATATTAGTGGTTTAAACAAATGCCTCCAATTTTCCTATTTGGGTGATATATAAAACTATCTTCTGATTTGGCAACCGGGGCCTTTTGAGTTCGCCATGCTTTAAAAAAAAAGATGGCTGGCACACTGCCTTTATAAATAAGAAGAATCCAGTGCCTTCATTCTGAAGAGAAGCAAGGTGTAAATGACATAGAACTCTAACTGGATTTGCAAGCCTTTAGAAAATATGGGCACTGTAGCAATATATAGTTTTAACAGAAAGAGCATCAATGCAGGGCACAAAAGAAGTAGGGCATTTTGGATGGGGTGAGAATTCTAGAAGATGCTTGGCTTGTTGCCTGCATTCTAAAGAGGGAAAGACCCAGAACAGCAGAAATAGGCTCCATCCTTTTCTCACTGGCTTCTCAGTAGGCCTTCCAGCACAGCTAAATGCAAACTCAGATAGACAAGCAACATTTTGCCAAACCTAGTATCCGGTTGGAGAACACTAGACTAAAGTTTCTTACTGAACAGCAATGCTCAAACTTGTTCTAGCTACCTGAGGAGGGCTGAGTACTCTGAAAAAATGGGAACAGAACCGTTTGAGCACAGAACTTGCTTTAAAGTTAATCCCATTCAACACACACACTGTAAGCTTAAAGAAAAATATATAGAAGCTGAAAAATAACAACAAAAATGTTCCTCAGTCATGTACCCCACCAGTAACTGGCAACAAGCAGTTTTATGCAATACACCATTTAATCAACAAAGAAGGGAAATTGGGCAACTGCAGGTGCCAACCTGTGAAACTCCTCCCCATCCACTATTACCTTGGTGATAGTGCCCACAGCTTTGGTACGCCCCTCACGAAAAACCAGTCGCTGGTCTATGTGCAAGTACTCTGGAGTCTTGATGAAGCGGAAGTGGACAGTGGCTTTATCCCCAGTGCGTAGACAGTCTTTGTCCATGCTAAGAATAGTGGCTGTCTGGCGAATGCTACCACAATGTACTAGAAACAGTAAGAATCTCACTGGCACTCAGAATGTCATCAAGGAAACAAATATTGGCAATACACATGGATGCTATTAATTCACCACACAAAAAAGTTGAGTTTCCTTTGTTATGCATATGCATCTTTGACTAAGAATATAAAAACTTTACTCTTGTTACTTTCCCTAGTGAGCCACAGATCATCACCAGCCACCAGCATTCTTGAGAACTGAAGGACTCCCACATGTCATGCTTTCCTCAAAACCTTGTATCTTGTAAGATACAGGTTACAGAAATCAAATGCATTTTTTCCCCCGTCATCCACCAAACCTAGCACTGAAGTGGAATTTCTAGAGTGGTGCAAGTCAAACACTCTAGATGTGGACCACCCAATCTCTTGACGTTCTTCTGTACAAGATGTTCTTCTGCCACATTCCAAAAGTTCCACAATGAATAGTGCTCCTTTGCTCTTTGCTGTCCCTTTAAGTCAGAGATGCAAAATATTAAGAGCTGCACCTGGTCTCTAAACAGCCTGTTTGGGGAGGGGAGGTTAAATTAATAACAATACTCCTCATCTATTTAGTAATTTTACAGTTACAATTTACAGATGACAGGGCACTGCAACAAGAGCTTTCAGGAGCAGAAGATGGCCTTGAGCCTAGGCTGTGCATTCCTACTCTTATGGGGAATAACTGCTACCACTAGTATATTTAATATCTCAGGCTAAACTGCAAAAGGTGTATATAAAAGACATAGAAAGCAACTCCACATACCCATTGCCTGATAGCGTGGACTGATAGTGGTAGGATGGTGCAGTACCAGAATCTCTGCTTCAAATTCCCAAGAGGCTTGAGGATTCAGCCGAGGTGACACCATCACCATCCCTTTCCGAATAGAGGAGCGTTTAATCTGGTAGTGGAATAATTGAAAGAGAATATCAAAATCAAAAGTAGGCTCATTGGAAAATAAACATACTTCTGTGGTATTTACAGAAGACTACAGCAGCTCTTTACAATACAGCCTCCTGTGGGAAACAGTAGGATGTCCATCCATCCAACTAACCAAGCAGGAAACCATTCCAAGGGATGCTTTTGGTCAAAACCATTTACTGATAAGTTTTGGCACAATACCTAGTGTATTAGCAATGAATCAGGTCTACCTGCTGCCCTTTCTTTATTGTATAAATGAGTCAAGAGTTTTCCACAATAGATATGTGTGGCCCAAGGCTGCTATTTTTACTTTTTTTTTTTTGGGTGCCTTTAAGTCAGTCTCTTCTGCTTTTTAGGATCAACCATCAACAGTGAAGGAACAACCAGTCAAGAAATATGCCACAGACTGGCACTTGGTAAAACAACCATGAAGGCCTTGGAAAAGACATTCAAATGCCATAATGTATCTACCTTTACAAAGATCAGAACTGTGCAAGCATTCGTATTCCCTGTGACACTCTATGGAAGCAAAAGTTGGACTTTAAAGAAGCAGGATAGGAAGA